AGTATTTGCAATTTTGCAAATTTTAACTAGGGTCCCTGCGGATCACACTCCTCTTCTTGGGAGGGAGGCCTATAGTAAACTCCCACCATCGGGTCTGTAAAGCTTATAGCCCTTAATATTCACTGCCCAGTCATGTGTCTCATCCCACCATGTCTCTGTTAACCCAACCAGATCAAAATCAGGTTTTCTGACGCGCCTCTGGTGTTGCGAGATGCCATTACCAATCTGGCTGTCCATGTTTTGAACGCCCCCCCGTGTGTTGTGGTGGGTAGTGGTTTCGTGGAGTGGACCCTTGTCCCCAGCCCCTGGACTTGCCTAGTTGAGGCAAGGAGTGTGGGGTAATGGTCAGTGGGGCCTATCGGACCAGCTTAGGGAGTCCTGCTGCGGCATTTCTGATCCTAGCTCCTGGAAGGCAACAGCCCTCTCGTGCAAGGCAGATGGCTCCTTCCGTGCCCCACAGCTATCACCCTGTGTATTATAATCTAATATGATAGCTAATCTAATATTATAATCTAACATGTATTTACATATATTATACATGTAAATATACTATACAAACTACATATATATTATACATACTATATACATACTATAATATGTGTGTGTGTGTGTATTACTATAAAATATGTATTAACGTGTAATATATAATACGGGGTTGTTGGTTGTAGCCGTGTTGGTCTAAGGACATAGGCAGACAAAGATTCTTTGGGTAGATGTGATCTCTTTTATTAGCCCAGATAAATAGTTGGAAACATTGTTCTTTCTCTAATTTATAATATATATATTATTCTCTAATATATACTCATTACAATATAATGTATATATGTATGTATATAATATATATATGCTCTAATATATACTCATTACTATACATCAATAAATTACATATACTATATATATTATAAATCATTCATTAATAAATGATATATAATATATATACTGTATATTACATATCATTCATTAATGTATGATTTATAATGTTATACAATGCTCTAATGTATATATTAATGAATATATATTACCCATTAATACATTAATTACATTATATTATATAGTATTATTGCATAGTATGTTTCATTAATGCATACATTGTAATGAATGTGTTTAATGCATAGTAGTCAATGTACATTCATTAAAACACAATGATAATAAGTATTATTAATCATAATCATAGCCATGATAATCATGATAGCAACAAATGAATGATCGTTAGTATTCTTATCATAATATTCATGGCAGTGACAATAATAATAGCAATAACACTAAGTTAAAGATCATTTCTAATAACAAAGCAGCAGTAAGTGATAATTAGTATTCTTACAATAATAACAGCAGCAATAGCATTAATACATTAATGATAATAATAATAATGGCAAGAATAATAATCCCCCCAATGTAGAAGCTGTGTCCAGCAAGGGGCCAGCGGGCATGACCCAGGCCCCTGCCCCCGAAATGTTCAGAGATCAGGGGCTATTTGTGCCCAGCTCCCCCAGCCATGCCCCCATCCCAGCCGGAGCAGAGGCCCCCACACCCGGGGTGCACCGTGCGGGAGAGCTGTGCTGGGAGAGGGGAGAGGATAATGCCCAAGAAGTAAACCCTGCTTGGCCCCTGCCGCAGAGCACCCACTATCCAGCTCCCCCCACCCGAGCGGTGACCACCTTGCTGGAGAAAGACGGCAAAGAGGCCCTGAGGCTCTGGAAGTGCCTGACGGGGCGTGCAGTTGTAAGGATGCGTGGGGCAGAGGGCATCACCCCAACCAGAGGCTGTGAGGGGGAAGCCCTAGCAGGGCCCACAGCCCTGGACACACAGCCGGGCCCCTGCTCACTGCCATCGCAGCATGTATCCAGAGACCTTGCGAGCCAGATACCAACCCAGCCATGCCCACATCTCCGGGGACAAGCTACCAGCTTCTGGCCCCCGGGGGCCATGGCATGTAGGACTAACCCACATGGGTCCTCCAAACTCTCCATGGGGCAGAAGTGCCCTCCATTTTGTGCCAGGGTGCAAGACAGGAAGGAGGACGAGGGTGGCATGCGGCAGGGATGCTTAGAGGCGCTTGTGAGACGCGGTGTGGACTTGGACCAGCTGCTCGGGGGGGTGAAGAGCTGGCCTGGGGCACTGGTGGCACTGGGGCCAAGATGAGCTGCCAAGTCTTGAGGAGTCCCCAATAGGAGACGGGCAGCACCAAAAGGCCTCGTGAGTAACTTCTTGGACAGTGAGAAGAGCTGACGGTCAGAGGCAGGGAAAGAAATCCAGCTCAGACCCTGCAGCCCTGCGGTGGAGGATGCTCAGGGGCTCAGCGAGCAGCAGCCCAGCCTCAGACCCACTGGCCAAGGGGCTGGGCTGCTCCATGCAAATGAAAATAGCAGAATTTGGCAAACTCCAACCAGTCTCTGCAAACAGGGATGTGTCAGACCACACCAAACCAGGGTGCGGTTTCCACCTGCGTAGCAAAAGGCGCATCCCTGATGCCGGCGTGGCCTCCCCTCGATCTGTGATTCATGAACCTGCAATTTCCTGCCCCAAAGCACAGAGCTTCTCAGGAAAGCAGTCGTGCTTCTTTTTTATCTCAAAGAACAAATATGTTTTTTTAAACCTGGCTTCGTTCTGGGAAACTGCTGAGAAAATGTCTTATCCAACATTTAAGCACCCACCGCCCTCCACCGCAGCCTGATGGGGTAGACATCTAGCATGGACAATTTCAACTTAAAACTTTAAAAGTTGGCAAAGTTATAGGCAAATGAAAGCAAGGCTTTATAAGAGGAAGACCTAGACAACCTGAACCAAGCCCTATAATAACAAGGGCACAGGGCTGGGCTCTGAGGCCTTGCCAGTTCTCTGTGTAACCTTCGTGCACATCATATAACTCTGTCCAGTTCCAGCAACTGGACTACACAGGGAGTCCAAACCTGCTCCTGGCTCTAAAACTGCCTTTCCATCGCTTGCCAAGGTCTCAGCCCTTCTCTTGAAGTATTCTAGGACCTCAGACGTGGGACTCTAGGGTGGACAACATTGCCTTTGTGCACAGCTCCGTCTCCCCTGGGCAGGACTGACTTGGAGGTGGTCCTAGACAGTGCAACCAAGGTCTATCACACAACCCATGTGGTCTTTTGCTCTGCTGGCTAGCTGCGTTCCCTCCTCTACCTTGTTCTTCTCTAGCATAAATACATAGCAACCAGCTGCATATTGAAAACAAGCATAAAAACCAAAGCATGTTCGCGGGGCCAAGGCAGAAACAACAAACACCATGTGACAGATGTTATCCCCATTGCCTCCCACGCTGCTGCTGCGGGCTGGGGTCCTATGGGGAGAAGCATGGCATGCAAACCACTCTCGATCCCATTGGTAGGGAGCTCCTTGCCCTTTGATGGGAATTTCTTTCAGCATTGCTCTTGCACTCATAGCCTCTTGGTTCCCATGGGCGTTTGTACGTGCCACATTTTTTGCCCTTTCTTGTGCTGCAATGGCATGACTGTTTGCCTGAGTGGGTTTTCTGCATACTTTACAACTCTTTGTGGTGCATTAAATTAAAACTCCTCAGACGTAGTTTAGTTTGGCTCATCGTGAATTAAAGCATCACGTCCATGGATTCATTGAGTGCAAACACAAAGGCACTCAAAGACATGTAATGAGCCCTTTGTCCACCAGATGGCGCTGCGACTTTTTTGTAGTTCACCTCTTCGAATTGCTGTTGCTTTCGAATTGTTTCCGCTTTTTTTTTCTTGTGCTGTGTGCTGGCACCCTGCTCCCACAGCTGCGTGACCAGGCATGGGGTGGAGGCTCTGGTCTGGGGGAGCAGTGTGGGACCATCCCACTGTCCTGCAGTGCCAGCTGGGGACCAGGCTTAATTTGTTTGAAAACCGAGTGTGTGCAAACACTGATGCGACACTCCAAAGCTTAATTTGTTCGAAAACCTAGCGCATGCAAACACTGATGCAACGTGCCAAAATAAACAAGTTTAAATTTTATAAACCTATTTAATTCAATAAAGATTAAGGCCCGTGATGTGTACAAGCATCTCATCTCTCCAGTGTCAAGGAGGTGCATCCTCCTTCCTCTCTGCACACCTCCCATGCGTGATATCTCCCATTTTTTACACCCAATTTGTGACTGCTGTAGTCTGGTACCCTCCTGTTCACAGTCTGGCTTGCCCTGATTGCTTCCCAGTGACTTAGGCACTCTTCTAGACCCTTGAGGATCCCCACTGGCTGGATGACATGGTTTTGCAGACTAAATCCAGCCCTCAGACTGTAGATTGAACACCACCGATGTAGATAGTTCTGTCCCTCCTCAGCAGAGCCTCTGAGTGCCTGTGTCCCCCTGAGACTAGGAGGTCATTAAGGAACCAATAAACCTTTCTCCTAATGAAACATTTGCTTTGTCCTCCTTGGAGGAGGAAAACAAGCTGTCATGGTGGGGACTCCTGAGCAGGCTGCTCGCAGGAGGCTGAGGTCTCCGATGGATATGATGAGCCCGACGTCGTGTCCTCTCTCCTGATATCCTCTCCAGGTCCCCGACTGTCTTACAGCAATCATTCCTGTCACTTTGTAAAGTCCATGCTTACAGCTTTCTCCCTTCAACCTCCTCAGCATCCAAGCTTCCCAGACCCCAGAGCAGGGGAAGACTGGAAAGGCATCTCTTGGGTCCATTAGGCCATAATCCTGCAAGGGGTTCAGGCATCTGAGTAAAGCAAAACCCATGACTTGGCCTGAACCTTTCAGCACCACTACTGCACTGTTTGCAGTGCCCTGACCTCTTGCGTTTCTTTCCTCGCATGGGTGACTGAGGGCTAACTCCATCAGTGGGATTCAATTGCTGCCTTATTCTGACAGCTTCTCCTCTGGGAAGTAGAAGCAAGGCTGGAAGGACGACAGCGTGCACAGGTTTTATTAGTTAACGTACGGCGCACAATCAACCTCTGCGGCATTCTGGACATGCTGCCTGCTGGAGCTTGTTGCAGCATAACCGATATGATGGTTTGTGCTTAAAGTTGGGCAAACATGGTAAAAGTGGGCATCTTTGTTCTGGACATTGTTGTCAAAGGAGGTGGGTTTACAGGTAAGAGTTGTGTATGTGCATAGTATAGTGGCTAGGACACTGGACTGGAATACAGGACCCCTGGGTTCATAGATTCACTTGGACAACTAACTAGGAAGAAGTATAAGAGCATTGCTTGGGCACGCAGAGATGAAGTCAGGAAGGCCAAAGTGCAATTGGAGTTGCAGTTGGCAAGGGATGTGAAGGGGAACAAGAAGGGTCAGCTCCCAGACTACTGCACCATTTGGGGAGGAGGTCAGCAGCCAACAGTGGTGAAAAAACAGTTTAGAGACTATTTATAAAAGGTGGATGTGTACAAGACCATGGGGCCGGATAGGTTGCACACAAGGGTGCTGATAGAGCTGGAGAATGAGACTACAGAGCCACTGGCCATCATCTTTGAAAACTCCTGGTAGTCAGGAGAGGTCCTGTATGATTGGGAAAGGGCAAACAGAGTGCCCATATTTAAGAAGGGGAAAAAGGAGGATCGGGGGAAAGGCAGACCAGTCAGCCTCACTTCAGTCCCTGGAAAAATCATGGAGCAGGTCCTCAAGGAATCCTGCCGGCATCCTGGGCTGCACTGATTCTATAGAAAATGAGGGTTGGAAGGGACCTCAGGAGGTCACAGCTAGTCCAGCCCCTGCTCCAAGCAGGACCAGCCCCAACTACATCATCCCAGCCAAGGCTTTGTCTACCTGGTCTTAAAAATCTCCAAGGATGTAGGATCCACCACCTCTCTGCGGGGCCTGTTCCAGTGCCTAACCTCCCTTCTCATGAGAAAGTTCTTTCCAGTGTCTAACCTCAACTTCCCTTGAGCCCATTGCTCCTTGTCCTGCCATCTGCCACCCCCGACACCAGTCCAGCTCCATCCTCTTTGCAACCAATGTCTAGTTCTGCCACTAACCCATGCTGGCTGACTGTGAACAAATCACTTCCCCTTCTATGCCTCAGTTCCTCTGTCTGTAAAATGGAGATAACAATGATGGCCTCCTTTGTAAACTGCTTGGAAACCTACTTATGAAGAATGCTACTGAAGAGGCAGATATTAGTATACATGAGACGTATCTGAGCTGGCTAATAGGGTGGTTTATTATTAAAAGGCAGAAAAAAAACCATGGGCTACAAGCCACTGTGTTATAGTGAATAAGTCAATGCCACTCCTCATCACGCTTTGCACAGCACATCTTGCAAAGTGAAGTGGGAACAAATCTTCTGCAGGGTTAGCAAAGGCACGAACAACTTTACCATGCTTGCACTGAAATAACCTTCTCTGAAAGCACGCATATGTGTGTACCTGCGCGTGTGTGGGGGGGTGTATATGTTTGTGTGTGAGGAGTGTGGCTTGAGAATAACTCATTACAAACCTGTTACAGGATTGCAGAAACTGAACATGTGGAGTAAAACCATTGTCCTTGCCTCTGTTGATAGTGCGTGATGGGAAAAGCCTGGGGAACAGTCCCCTCCACTGCAGAGGTTTTGGGGAAAAATCTCTGCCCTGAGTTTTTCAGGATGTCAGACCAGTACATTGGTCCTTCCTGCTCCAAAAGCCTCCCAGTGAGCTTTACCTCCTCTTCTAGCCCCTTTGGCCAAGCACAAGAGCCAGAAATACCTCTTTCCCGGGCAGGGAAGGAATCGGCCATTGCAGGCAATGCATAGGCCCCTCGCCGGGCTGGGGGAGGCAGCCGCGCATGAAATGCAATGGTAGCACCATCTCCCGCTGCAAGCCTGGGATAGGGTCCTGCAGCCCTGAGGCTGAGCAGGGGTTGCTCCGGCGTGGAAAGCAGCCCCGCTAACAGCGCCACTGGGAACCATCCTGAGGCCAGACCTGTGAGATGATGTCTGCCTCCACAAAGCTTCCAGGGAGACCTGAGAGAGGCAGCTTGAATGAGAAAGGGCAGAGGCATGGGAGGGGAGAGGAACTGCTCCCTGCTGCCTTGCTGGGTGCCCTGCTCCCACCCTGCACAGCTGGTTTCAGACCTGGCCTGGAAAAACAGGAATTTTTGTTTTGGATGCTGTCATTATACACAGACAGCATCCAGCATAAGCTTTTCTTCACACACCTTAAAACACATTTAAAGCCCGTGCACCCGTTACAATAGACGCGCCCGTGCACCCATCCACAGCCCTTTCCCTAACCCCAATGTTGGGGTTTGCATTCTCAGCTCATTCACTCGTGCCCGTGGGGTTGTCTAGCCCTTGGCTGTCCAGGTGCACCGTGCGTCCCCTTGGAGGTGGCCCTGGGTGAGGGAAGGTGGGACCAGACCGCCTCCAGCCATGGCCCCAGGTTCGAAGTAGGCTGCTGGGGCATGAGCTAATGACTCAGCCGTGTCCGACCCCCTTTATCCCATGGCGTGTTTATACCTGGTTCCAGCAAAGAAGGGAAAAGGGTCTTGTGCATAGAGCTTTGGAGAGCAGCGTTTATTTTCTGGCCGTGCCAGGGATGCTGCGAGGCCCCTTGGGAACCTGGATATCCATTTTCCTGGCTGTAAAATGGAGATAACTCCTCCTGTTTCCACCTGCTTTGGCTGTGCTGCCTATTTAGGTTGTAAGCAGTGTCCAGGCAGGGTTGGTGCCGCAGCGGTCAGCACAACAGGCTTGGCTTTGCTGTGGTTCATGGAGTGGGAGCGGATGTGATGTGTCTTGATTCTAGCAAAGCTTCTGACACTGTCCCACATGATGTCCTCTTAAGCAAGCTCAGGAAATATGGTCTAGATGAGACTAATGTGAGGTGGGTAGAAAACTGGTTGAATAAACACCCTCAAAGAGCACTGTATTTATCTGCAAAGCATGCACCTCCAACTCAGCCAGGTGCTGGAACCGCTGGATTCGAACCCAGAACAGCCAAGCCAGCAGGTCGAGGCAAAGTCTGCAGCATCTGTTCAGGCACCTGCTCCAGGCCAGCCCCATCTGTGAGGACCCTGGTGGGGAGTCAAGTGAGCAGGAGGGACGTATGGAAACCATGAGTCCCTGATGGGGGGACTATCAAACTCTTCCTGATGGGACTTGTGTGTGCTTCGAGACCTCCGCCTTGCTCCAGCCTGCTCCCAGCCTCGCCACAGTCCCTGCCCTTGCCTCGCTTGGACCTCCCAGCTCTGATCTTGGAGTCACAGGGTCCTAGAGAAGTGGGGCTGGAAGGGATCTCCAGAGATCATCTAGTGCAACCCCCTGCCTGAGGCAGGATCAGCCCTAGCCAACCTATCCCATGCAAACCAGTCAATTCATGTCAAGTGACTGGTCAATTGAATGCATAATTTTTGACCCCTCAAAGATTATAGCCCTTTTACAAAAAAACTACATTTTCTTTGGAGCTGTCTTGGCAGAAATATGATTTTTTTTTTATGCATTTCTTAATGGAAAATTTGTGCTCTTTCTGTGTATTATTTGGCAATTTTTCACAATTTTTGACAGAACTTGATTTGACCGGTCAAATACCCAAACCACATCTAAATCCTACGTAAGACAACCATTATCCCTTACACAACACAGACCTCACACCCAAACCTGCCCAGGGAAAGCAGGGGACCCACGGCAGCCACCGTCCTCTTTCTATGAAATATTGTCAATATAGGATCAAGCGATCCCGGGTAGAGGATCCCGGAGAGATCTTCCACCTGCCCTGATTATGACACTGCCTCAATCCTCAGCTGATGACTTGGACTGCAACAAATTCACGGCGTGACCCCAGCCTCCCTATGATAACTCATTAAGTAACCGCACATGGCCCAGTTGGTCTTGTTTTGGGAAGGCAGGATGAAGATGAAGAGATATCTCCCTTTAACCAAACCAGTCAGAATCATTTTCCTTTTTTAAGACGCCCTCCCCCCAGTTGCTACTTTTTGGGGGAAATGTGGGAGCGATATGTGACAAATAAGGGGGATATCAGTGGCTCGCTGTCAGGCTGGAAGGATGTATTGAGACAGGGTCTGCCAGCTTTCTTGGATTTGGCATCAGCCAAGTTTTCCTGAATGACCTGGATGAAGAAATAGTAGGCATGCAGATGAAATCACCCCACAAAGCAGTTCCAAGCACTTCAGAGGACTGTATTTGAACTCAAAATGATCTTGGCAAATGGGAGAACTGGCCTGAAATCAAGAGGACGCCGCTCAGCAAGGACAGGTGTGACGTGGTGCTTGGGTGGGAATCATCAAATGAGGAAGGGACTGGCTGGAAAGCAGGGCTGTGGGGAAGGATCTCGGGGTTGGAGCAGACCGAAGAGTGCAAGTAAGTCACCCATGCCACCGGTGCAGAAACAAAGGCAGTCACCTTGTCAGGCTGTATAAACAGGAGTGTCATGTGGAGGACACGTATTGGATCCGTCCCCCCAGCTCAGCTCGAGGAAGGGCTGGACTCTATCCTGACCAGGGGATAGCATGCCCAGGGGGCTAGAAAGCACAAGGCAGGAGGAAATATTGAAAGCATTAGGTTTGGAGCCAAGATTGTAAAGAAGTTGCTGTAAAGAAGAAGGACATAAATGAATCTCTGTGTTCCCTAGGAATAAAAGAGGCAGGCATGGGCTTAAAGTGCAGCCAAGTTAGACATTAGGCAACCTGCTGTCTATAAGGATGGTCATGCACTGGACTAAGTTATCTAGGAAGGCTGCGGGATCTCCCACGTTGGAGATTTTTAAGAGCAGGTTAGACAAATATTTAGGTAGAGGTTGATCCGGACTTAGGGCAGGAGGCTGGACTAAGTGATGATTTGCAATGGCCCCCTCCAGCCCTGATGCTAGGATCCCTTCCATCCTCAGCACAGCATCTTCTCCTCTTTGACTATGGAGGGGACCAAGCAGCCATGAGCCTCTCTGGGAAGCCAAGAGCACAGGGCTCTCAGCAGGATGTATAACCCTGGCCCCGTTCAGGACGCAACGACTGGACCACAGAAGCATTTGCTACTGTGTCTGGCTATCTTGGCTTTGTTCCTCCAGAAGAGGCTGGTGCATCCAGTGCCATGAGCACCCTAAGGAGGTTGGCTCCAGGGTGGAAGCCTGCTTGCAGCAACACCTGCTAAGAGCAACAAATCTT